TTGGCAAGATGAGATGTGATTGTGTTCATTATGTGTATGAGGCTGTGCTTGGCACTTAGTACACCCCACGAGGGTTGCCTTCCCCTGTGCACTGTGTGTGCCTCCTCACCCCCAAACCTGAGAGCCACCCCAGGGCCGTGCCCTCAGTGCTGAGCTCAGGCCTGTGAGAGAATGGCTGCTGGGAAGAATGGTAGCTTTTGAAAATGGAGAAGTTGAAAAGACAAGTGCAGGCCCTGGGGCATGGAGAGGCCAGTCTGCATCATCGCTTGGGCTGGTGTCACCTCTGTCCCCTACCCTCAGTGCCTCTGCTCCCTGCAGACAAAGCCATCTCATCAGACCATAAATGCCCAGGCCCCCAGGGTGCCCAGGATCTCAGGCTGTTCTAGATACCAAGGAATCTGAAGCCTCCATCCCATCTCAGATGCTAAAGTGGGAGTCCATAGGGAAGCTGGGGAGCTCAGAACCTGGCCCCTGGTGGGATTAGGGGAGCACTGCCCCAGGTTTCTAGGGTGGAGGAGCCCCTAACACTGTACCCACGCGTCGACCTCACAGCGTTCTGCCCCCCTAGGACTTTAGTTCACCTCTTTGTCCTCTACACTGTAATGGAGAGAAGCCATCCCCACAGCCAGGTGACCCATCTTGCTTGTTGCTCATCGACTATCCAGGGTCAGTGACAACACTGGCAGCTTCAAGCAGCTGGCAGCTGGGCAGAATGCCGGGGTGCCCAGCACTATTCCTTTGCTTCATGATAGCAACTGTGCTAATCTTTACCCCTACACTATGAAATGGGTCATATGTTAACATCACTCATATTTTAGAGATGAGGAAACTGAGGCACAGGTAGCCCAAGCAACTTATTCAAGACGTCACACAGGTGGTGATGACAAAGCCAGGTTAGGTCTTTACAAATTGTTTTTTGAGTGTGTGTCACCCTCTCTCTTGAGTAATATGATGTAGGTCTGGATGTAGAATAGCGTTTTCTTTGCCTCTCGAGTTGCTGTGAATTACAGGGTCTCTCAGTCTTCCACCCACCCCTTGCTCCTTTCTGCTTCTGTACACAGCTGCTGGTTGACAAGCTCCACTATTGCATCTCACAGCCAAACTGAAGTGGGCTTGTTTGAGTTTCTTTTATTTCACAGTTGTAAGTTGGGGCAACTTGTTCAGCATCTCACAGCTGCAAAGAGTCATGACAAGGCTTGGGTACTGTCTGTGGGACCTCAACAATGCACTTAGCCGCTGCTCCAGACATGGCACTTCCTTCAGGGGCTGGGGCTGGGAAGGCCGCCTGCAGGAAGCATCTGGAAAAGGAAAGCATTCTGTGAGAAAAGGAGCAAAGCAGCAGTGTCCAGGCAGAGGCATGTGGTGTGTGCTAGGTTGTAGGGTTGGCGTCACCTCTGTCCCTTGCCTTCAGTGCCTCTGCTCCCTGCAGACAAGGCCATCTCATCAGACCATAAATGCCCACGTCCCCAGGGTGCCCAGGGTCTCACTGGGGCTGACAAAAACAAATAAAGGTAACTTCCCATTTGTGGGCTCCCATGATGGTGTCTCCTCGCCTCCCGGAGAGCATACAGCATGGTGACATGGATTGTGGACCAAGCACTTCTTAGTTAGAATTCTGACACTTCACAGAATTATATGGATGAGCCCTAATACTGCCTGCCTTTTGTGCTGGGAAAGGTAGAGAGGGTCAGAGAAAGAGGAGATGCGCAGGGAGATGGATTGACACAGCAGCCACAGCACGGGGCTCAGGCACATTGGGGTGATGAGCTAGAGCAGGATGGCGCAAGGCGCAGATCTTTTAATAGGGTCGCTGTGGATAACAGCACCTAACAACAATAACAGCATTTCACTGGTGAACAAACCAGGGCCCAGGGAGATTGTAATTTGCCTCAAGGTGATGTAGCCATCCGTGGTAGAAGCAGGTTTTGAATGTATTCCTGTTGCAGCCTCTTACTCTGAACCATGGTCATCAGAGGGTCCCTTGCTCTTAGCCCTGGTGTCCAGCTGCCTCTCTTGTCTGGCCAGGCTTTGCAAGTGCTAAGTGTCTAGGGCTTTCTTGGGCTTTGAGCAGAGTGCTGACCTTGTACTGAGGACTGGATGTGTCGCACAGTAGATGCTGAGCTGCTGTCTGTTGAAATGACATCTTAGAACCTCGGATGAGGGTGAAGGGTACTGGCGGGAGGACTGCCAAGTTCATTTTGGTCCTGCTGGGCTGTGCATGTTTACACATGTTCTGTGCAGAGCAGAGAAGCCTGGGGAGTATTTGTAAACCTGGGTTGAAGGTCACAGCTTGTAGTTGGTGTTCCGTGATGATGGCCCCAGCCTGTGACATGTCTGTGACACAGCATTGGGGATCGACCCTGGTTAGGACTTGGGAGCGTGATGAATGGGGAGCTGGGGGCTAGCCTGAGAGTCCAGATTACTGGGTGTCTCCATCCAAGTCCTGCACCTGCTTGTTGCAGAGGTCCTGCTTGGGTGCCTCCAGAAGCCCAGGTGTTGTGATTAACTGGCACCACCCATGTTGCCATATGTCATCATGGGAACATGCTCCTCCTCCTGCCAGCGTGGCCCGCATGCCCACCAGCCCTTCAGGAAGGGACACACAGGGCCTCCCACGGGGACTCGCCCTGCTCGCCACTTGTTCCCCTTCTTGGTTACAGGAGTGTATCTCTCGTTCCTTGTCAGAGCTGCGTCACACACACATACATCTCCCGTATGTCTTGCATTCAGGCCAGGAACAGCAGAGGCCTCCTTTGATCCCTTTATAGAGATGTCCACCAGTGGTAGGACAAGGGCTGTGACCCAGAAGGAGAGCTCTGGTTAAGCCAGGGCGTGTCGCCCTGACTCTGCACAGTGTGACCCCTCCTCCCCCTCCCCCGCCCAGGCAGAGTGGGCAGCACCATCTGTGACCACTTTTTGTGCTACGTCCAAGCCCCCCGCCACCACACGCTCCAGCTCCACGTGCCTGGCATGCAAATGAGTTTCCAGATGCTCAATGCCCCTGCACAAGAAGCAGTAAGTGGGGACCTGGGAAAAGAATAGAGCAATCTGGAAATCCATGTTCTGTGTTGCGGCCTCTCTGCAGACTGTTCCCTCCGCCAGCTGCAGCAGATGTGTGCCAGGCTCCCACTCCGGGCCACTCTGCCACCATTTCTGGCAGGCACACTCCAGAGAGGGGCTTTCCCTTCCTACATCCCCTTCCCTTTGCAGGTGGCAGCAGGATGTGCCCCACTGGAAACAAGACATGGTTTAGAATAAAGATGGAGCTTGTTCACAATCACATCCTGGGGAGGATATGGGTGTCTTGTCAGGAATAAGGTGCAGGTCCGTTTCTAGTCCCAACTCTCCCCCTGGATTAGAGACCTTTGCCCACTACACAGTCCAAAGCAATACCCACCAGCCCTAGGCTGGTCCCTTGCGACCCCCTCCTACCCCTACACCAGTGACTTCCCCATCAGCTCACAGCACAGATCCCCAGGAATGGGAACACCCCAGTGAGTGGTAGGAGAGAGAGCCCCCTAGCAGCTGCTCCCTCCTTACCAGGATGGTTAGCTTGTCACTGGTCCCAGAAATGCTTGTCCGGGCCAGTGGGCAGAAGCAGATCCTGGCAGGTCTCAGAGTCTCTGGTGGTATCTGGCTAGACCCTGTCCAGAACAGAGCACTTTGTAGGGCAGGTGGTCCCAGATTCTGTGAAATCAGCCCCCCCGCCCCCCAGCTAAACCTTGTGCATGATTAGGAAGAGTCCCTGACAAGTCGTCACTGGTTTGGAGGGGCTGAGAGACCCTTTGCCCATACTTCAGCTTCAGCCTCAGTGGGGGTGAGGGCAGTCAGTCACACAGCCTGGGACTCTGTCCTCGATCTGGTTACTGCAAGGCTCGGTCTGCCCCTCTCTACAAGGGGACAAAAACTGACCTGCTGATAGTTTGCATGATGTGAAGCAGGTGCCAGGAAAAAGCCTTCTGTCCAGCATCTAGATGAGTGAGGGCTTTGCATCTGGTCAAATAGCAACGCAGCCCAAAGTATCCAAGCCACATAATCATCTGGAACTGTCTACTCAGCCTAGCAGAAGTCCTTATGCAGGAGCATAAGCCCTGGGGGATGGGGGTGCCCGTCTTTGCTTCTGCACTATCTCTGCAGTTCCCTCATCATGGCCCTCAAAGGAAAGCTGGGCAGGAGCCACTGCCCCCTTTCCATACAGGCAAACTGAGGCCAGAGGTGGGTGCCTCTGGTAAACTCCAACATGGAGTTGTTGAAGTCAAGGGCTGTGTATTTGGGACACCTGAGGGCCACACTGGGCAGCAGCGCATGAAAGAATGTGGCACTTTGTCCCCAGTTCATCTGGGCTCTTTCCTCTGGTTTTTGAGGGATTTGGGCCACGTATTTGGTGCCTTAACAGCTCCAGCAAAGCATGCTGCTCTCTGCCCCAGAAACCTTTGTCCCCTCAAGCATTGGTGTCCAGCTGTGTAGGGATTGGGTACAGGTCTTACCAGAAGGCGTGTGGGCAGGACCCAGGCCGAGGCAGGAAGTTTCAGGGAGAGCCCAGTGGATACTTCTGAAACCATCAGGAGGCCCTCAGAAGGCTACTCGGTTTTGCTTACACTTTGCAATTTTATACCAGGGCCCCCCACCTCTGGAGGATAGTCATGTTCAGCTGATCCCCCTGACTCAAAGAGTCACCCTGGCAAGGCCGGGGTGGCAGACCCGGCCTCTCCAGCTGCTGTCTCTCCCTGGCACTCTCTCCGAGTCCACATCACAGTCTCTGTCCTTATATCCCACTGCTCCAGCCAGTATTCCTTAAGTAATCACCATTAGCACCTAGAATTTCCTATGCTTTCAGGGTGTTGTTGGTCCCATTTTGCAGCTGAGAACACTGAAGCCTGCTGAGAAGGCTTAGCTGCTCTCCTGGTGTGACACAAACCAGTGACCACCCCATGGGGAAGAGAGTAGGGGTGCTGGGGTGATGGCTGAGGTGCCGCTGACCATGCTCTCCTTGCTCACAGCACTGCTGTCCTCTTGGTGTGAGGAGCTCGGCCGGCTGCTGCTGCTCCGCCATCAGAAGAGCCGCCAGAGTGACCCCCCCGGGAAACTCCCCATGCAGCCCCCCCTCAACTCCATGAGCTCCATGAAACCCACTCTGTCGCACAGGTGAGCGGGGGGCCAAGCGGGCCGGGGGCACAGGGGACGTGGCCTCCAAGCAGCTGGGAGGGGAGTTTCTTTTCTAAAATGCTGTATTGTTTTGTTTTAAATCTTCCCAAGGGAGTGCTTGCCTTATCCAACTTGAGTGGTCCCATCTCTTCACAGGAGAAGTTTCTTCTGGGTCTAGATTTCTAGAGGAATCTCTGGAATCTTATACTCTGGGTCTTCCTCTTTGCTGACCAGGGTCAACCAGAGAAGCCAGGGACTACAAGGCCTCACAAAGGTCACAGGGCTGGTCAGCCCCCCTCGGGCTCAGAACCCCCCAGGCCGGTCAGGCTGGCCTAGTGAGGAGGGCAGAGTCAGCGACCGGCAGCACTAGTCCGCCCTGAACTGGACTCTGAGTAACACAGGACCGGACCGGCAGTCCCCGGTTAGGTACCAGAGTCCTCGAGGGAAGGAGCCCTCTCCCAGTGCTCTGTGGGCTGGCCTGAGCTGTGGGCCTGTGCTGCCTGCCTGCCCCATGCAGATCCCTGCTAATGACCCGGAGGGGCGTTTGCAGGCAGCCCCTCGTAACCCAGCCTCATAGGGGCCCCGCAGCCCTGAGCACAGCCTAGAGTGTGCTGCAGGCGGCCTAGCCAGGAGGCAACCACTTCGCAAATCGAATTAGAGGCTTGTTGACTCTACGGACCAGAAAGGACCTGAGAGCTTGTCGATTCTAGTGTTCTGCCCACGTGGGCTCTCCCTGACGCACGGTCACCACTCCTGTCGGAAATGCTTTGTATGACAGCAAACGCATCTCCAAGCAACCCTGGGCTGGCGCTGATGGCTGACTTGGAACAACCCCTCCTGTGGATTGTTTCTCTGCAGTGCTGTGGGCAGGCAAGACCTTGCAGGGCATTGCCCTGCCTACTCAGTGCTTCGACAGTGGCCCACCCCTGGCCACTTTTAATAGCAAAAGTGCCCTTACCCAGTTTGAGTGCTGGGGCTTCACTTGGGTAGAAGCCGCTGTTCTTGAGAGCTAAACCAGCCTTCTCCTGCCTCCTACCCTTTGTGCTTGGCACGGCTGTGTGAACTTCCACTTGTCAAAGGCAGGTGGTGGCTCAATTTTACCCAGGCAGTGAACTTTCGGCTCTTTAACTCTGGCCTGGTCATCCATCCAGCTCTCAGTCAACAGCATGTCAGTCAACATGTCTCTCCTACTGCCCTACCCATTGTCCTTCTCCACCTTCCCTGTTCATATCATTAGATGTCTGTCACAGACAGGCCAGAGCCCTCCCCAGCCACTGCCAGGTCTTTTCTGTATTGAGCTGAAAACCACGTCTGAGCGGTATCTGTGCTCAGAGCTGAATGGAATTAGTTTAATAAGGAAATGAGAATCACTGGGGGGCATATTGGGGTCCTCAGACCCAGGCACCCAGCATGCATGGTTGTGACTGCTGGATCAGGCTGTCCACATAGAGCCTGCCCAGAGGACATGAACCCTTGACCTTGGCCTGGGAACTGAGCCAGTGTGTTCCACAAAAGCTCACATTGGCTCACCAAGAACACTAGGCCAAAGAGTCCCTGGCTGCCACCACTCTACCCACCATCTCTGATTCATCTTCCTGAACCTACCTGTGGAAGGACAGTTCTTGAGACCTGGGGTTCTGGAGGCCTTGGGTGATCCATCCAGAAGGGCTATGTGGACAGAGATGAGTGCTGATGAGTGGCAGGACCACGGTGGTGTGGCCTTGAGGAACGTGTCCACTGTTCCACTTATCTGAACCATCCCATTCTGGATGTCAGACCTGGGAGGGAACCTAAACCCAGAGTGGGGAAGTGACTTGCCCAGGATGTACAGCCAGTGAGTAACAGAACAGGGTGGCCCCACAGGGACATTTAACAAGGTGTGCTGCTGTGCTGTTCAACGTGCCTCTCCTTGTTCAGGGACCATGAGGTAGAACCTGACTTGTTAACCAAAATTGGAATCTTTTTGGGAGCAAAGTTGTCTGCTTTTCTGATTCATACCTCACCCTAGTATCCATTTTCTAATGGAGTATTGAGGCCAGAAAGAGGGTGTTCATTAGATAAACCATGTCCCTTTCTAAGCCCAGCCCTAACCCGAGGGCACACTGTAGCTGGTCTTTCCTTGTCAGTTTTCCCAGGGGAGAATCCTTCATTTCCAGGGACTGAGTTTGGAAATGTAATTTTCCAAATGAGGATGAAATCAAAGTAAAGTACTTTTCCGGGTAGAAAGCTCTTCTGTCCTTCATTATCGACTGCTTTGTGAATGACTTAACCACTGGCTGGTGGCTTAGTGGTTAAGGAATTATGCTGTCAACACAAAGGTAGGTAGTTTGAATCCACCAGCTGCTCTGTGGGAGCAAGATGAGTTGTTTCTTCCCATGCAGTTTACAACCTCTGAAGACCTGATGGAGTGTCAGCTGTGATGGGTTCTGACCCAGCAATATTGAGTTGAGTTTGAGTTATGACTTGGGTGGAGATGCCTTCTTGGTTTTCCTTAAGGGGATATTGGACCAGGGTGGGCTATATGTACTCTGGGACTTTTGGAACTGGTGCTGGGCAGCATCTACTGGCTGTTGGGAGACTCAGGAGTCCTTGTCCAAAGTCTCTGAGGCTGGGAATGGGAGACAGTGAGGTGACCCAGGAACCCCAGAAGCTTAAAGGTCATTTCCACAGATGATGTGGTCATAGCAGAACCCTGGGGCTATTGTCTCTGTAACTTGAGCATCAATCAGTGCAGTTGCAGGGACAAAAGAGGTGCCCAGTCTGGACCCGAGTTCTTCCACCCCACAACTGCCCTCCAAATAAGCCCTTGACCTCTCTGAGCACATGGTCACTGAGCACAGGGATGTGGTGATGGCCAGCTGTTAGGAGAGGCCAGGCTCCTGCAGCCCCTTGCAGTTTCTGAGGGTGACAGGAATGTCTAGAAGTACAGCACTGCTTACCCCACACAGTCCAGCACGGTGCTCCACAGTCTGTGAAAGGTCTTTGGACACTCTGCTTGTTTAGCCCCCACTGCAGTGCAAGAAGTGGTACTGCTCCGTGGAGTCACGAATGCTGCACAGACAGCAGCCTTCCAGAGGCTATGCGGAAAACAGAGACGAGGAGCCAGGCGGGGTCTCGCCCAGCCTGTGCCTTGCAGGAGGGGGGCTCTGGGGACATGCTTCAGGTAGAGAACAGCCATGTCCCCTTCCAGCCCACAGTGACCTGGACTTGACTGCAGAGATTCTGCCTGCCTCTCTCAGATATTTAATGAGTAGTTAAAACAGCCGTTTGTGATTAGCACATTGTCCACATGCAAATCAGTGCTGCAAAGGTAATTAAAGGCCTAATAAATCTTGTTTACACTGGTAATTTGATTACAGTCAAAGCCATTAGGTATGGGGCAGTCTCCAGGATCAAGGCATCTCCCTCACTTCTCCATTTCCAGGTGAGGGGTTTGGAGCTCCCTGGCCCCTGTGGGCAGGCCTGGCACACCAGCTGCCCTGCTGGGTGGGGGGCTTTGGCACGACCCTTAGCCTTACCCTTTTGCTTCACTTTCCTTCTGTAGAGATGGAACAATAGCCTAGCCTGTCACCTCACTTGGCACACGGCCTCATGGACTGTTCACTCACCAACCTCATTCAAGATCAAGTGACACAGAAGGGGCCAATCAGAACTCTTCCCCTAGCCTGGGTTTTTCCTCAGTCACGTCAGGCCACCTTCATTTTTAGCTCTTTTTTGCATAGTAGCACCAAGGTTTAATTTTTAGTAAGCTCTTCTTTTTGCCCCCAGCCAACAATAACAACAACAACAACAGAAATAATGAATAAAACTTTCTAAAACACATTGGAAAGGCTCATAAGTCCCTGCTCCATCAGCTCCTGACTGCCATGGTGTAAACATTTTCTCTCTCCTCTTCCTAGTGAGAAATGCAGACCCTCCAACACGCAGTTAGCTGCACAAGTTCCTCTCTGAGTCTCACTGCGGGGAGGGGAGGAAGCAGGCACCAGTAATTGTGGTGATGGAGCGCACTGTTAATGGTTCCCCTAAATTAAAGAGGGTGGGAGCGCCCGCTCCTCGATGGCTTGGCGTTTCATTAGTGGGAACAGCACAGCCTCACAAGAAGATGGGACCAATATAGCGGATCAGGGAAATTAATTAGGGTCTGACAATACCCTTAATGGGAATTGGTTATTTCTCCCAAATTTATAAAGAGGCTGTTAGAAGTGCAAAGGAAGAAATAACCCAGCCTTCTCCTCCTCTCCTATTGTGATTATTATTGTGTAGACACTGCTACCGGCTGGGGCCAGGAGCCAGGAAATTTCCTCCCCTCATCCTAGGCTTTGCTTATTATGTTCTTTCTCATTCAGCCAGCAAGCTCTGGTCATTGCCCAGGAAGCTGGGCCACAGATATGCCAGCTGTCTGTCATTAGAACAACTTCTGCATGAGTTTTCTGTAAAATGCATACGAAAGCCTTGGAGTCTGCTTATGAGGGTCAGAATAAGGACCTTTCAGATTGGCCTTTGACATATAGGTAGGAGCTCACTAACTTGGAAAGTAATAAGGGAGATACATTGAGGAAAACCTCGATGGAAAACATTCTTAGTAGTTGACAAAAATGATAACACCTTCTCAAAGAAAGCATATTTGCAAACCGCTAAGCAGTTACTGTGGCTGCCTTGTGGCTGGACAGAGAAGTGGAGAAGGTATAACCAGTAGAGTTGAGCAGAAACTGTCACATAGTTTGCTCGGCTCTATACTTGGGCTCACATTTCATCCTGGGAAAGTGTGTGTTCCCCTTTAGATAGGAGGTTTTGGCTGAGGTTGTGGAATTGCCAAGATTTGGCCGTAAAACATCTGGCTCCAGAGCCTACCACCAAGTTAGCCCTTCTGCCATTTGAGTGTGAGCCTCAGGGTGTTGACTCAGCCCTGAATCTTTACCAGTGAACTCAATCCAGGGGAACACAAGGCTTGAGGCATAGCAAGACATTGTTATTCTTGGGCACTATCTGGACACTCTCTGAGGCCCAGCTTCGAGTTTCCACTGTCACTCATGCCACATTCCCAGAAAGTCTCTCCCTTCTTGGGACTTTATTAGACTTGTACGTCATCTCCCCATCTCCTCACATTAGAGCTGTCTTGAATGAGGGAGCACTTGCTGTCTCCCTGGGTCCCAAGTCTCCTCATGTGACTTGGTGACCCCTTTGAGGCTCAGCTTTCTAAGAAGTGAGCCTCTTACAGCTTACTTGGCTGTGAGTCCTGAGGTAAAAAGTCAGTTCCCAGCATCCATAGCATTTAAAGCCGCTCAGAACTCCCCAAAGTGACAGTAGCAAACACTAGCTGTTTCTGAGTATCCAAGGAGTCGAGGTGGGCTGGCCACTGTTGTTCGTGATTCACGTGTGTTCATGTTCTTAACCCTGTCATCGCCCCCACTTCACAGTTGAGGACACTAGCTTCATGGAGTGGGTACCAGGTTTGCTGGCTTCTTGCCTGGTCATTGTCCCTTAAGGGAGCAGGAACTTCCGTTGTCTGGCTCCCAGAGCCCCACATGGTGCAGGCACAAGTTTGATTTGTTGTTAGCTGCTATATGGTCACCCCAGTTTTCTGAGGTGCCCAAAAGATTGTGGGCAGATAGGACACCAAACCTTTCTTCCTAGTCTTAATTTGAAGTCTCCACTCAGAACTGTTGAGGATCAGAGCACCGGCAAAGTCTTCACCGACAGGTGTAGGGCAGCTGCACTGCAGGTGCATTGATCAGGGGTCAAATCCAAGTCTACGTGGGAGATGAGAATTCAGCAGCTGAGTGGCTCCCTCACAAGCACACTGTAGGGATGAGTCATCACATGTGGACACCTTGGAGTGGTTTCTTGTTGTCACACTGGAAACACAAATGTTGTAGGCTGAAAACAGGCACTGAGGTGGGAGCACACGGCCACCCCTGTGTGAGGAGGCACCTGCACTTGGCTTGGGCAGGCGGATGAGACACTGCCGAGACTCCGAGGGTGAGGCGGGCTTCCTTAGGCAATTCTGTCTGAAAAGGGCTGGAGCAGCTATGATGGGAGAGTGGAGCAGGGATAGGAAGACGGAATTCTCAGATCCCAGGCACTTTGGCAAGGAGCAGAGGCCCTAAATGTCAGGCACGTTTCATTGGAACTAGGCATGTCTGTGGATGATGTGATACTTAGGGGGAGAGGGGACTCAGGATTTGCATGGAGGTTGGGACAGCTGCCATTGATTGAAACTCATGGGGACCCTGTATGAATCAGCGTAGACTGTGCTCTACAGGGTTTTAATGCTGATACTGCACCAGGCCTTTCTGCCTCAACTCCTCAACTTCAGCTATTCAGTTAACAGCCGAGTATGTTAACTTTCTTCCATCTCGAGGGACCTTCTCTATTCACCCCACACTCCCTGCCCCCCACGCAGTGGATCACTTGGCGGGATCCTAGGGGTCTGGCTCATCCCTGATCCTCAGGAACCAGTGAATTGGCAGCCACCCTTACCCTGACCCCCTAGGGTGTCAGCTCAGCATGAAGGCAGATACCCAGCTGTCTGCCATTGTGGGCCTGTGAGGGCTGCAGCCTGCTCCCCAGAAGGATGAGTCACCCCCTGTCATGTGGCTGCTCTGCTGTGGCCACATTTCTACTTCTGCAGTGGGTACTGGCTGTGTGCAGGCCCTGTCCCTGTGCAGGTTGCCTGTGGCACCTCCTCCTCAGGTGTGCACACCTGCCTTTGCATCCTCATGCACACCAGCATGCACAGCTGCCCAGAGCTGGAGTGCAACAGGCAGTGGACTGCCCAGTTTGGGAACGTGGGTTCACCTTGCTTCTCACTGAGTCTGGGGTGGAGGAGGCGAAACAGGAAGGAGCTGTTTTCCGCCCACAGGGCCCACGCCGGAGCCACAGGGCAGTTGGGAGCTTGTTTGTGAGGCCTGTGCAGTGTCCCTGGGTGAGCTGGGGCCGCCCCAGCGCTGAGCTGCTGAAGCAGCAGCTGTCAGCTTCCTGGGCTCCTGCGAGGTGCATCCGGACCCCAGGAACACAGAGGGGTTTTCCTCTCTGAGCCTGGTCAGGCATGTTCTAAAGGGACAGCAGCTTGGATGTCAGCTTGTAGGGTTGCTGGAAACTTGTGAGGCAAGACTAGTGCCAGGGATTTCCTCTTAATGCTTGTTTGCTTGCAAAAGACCCTCTATGAATTTATATGCCCAAATAAATGTAAACAGAGGCCTGAGACCAAGTGAACCCAAATATGCCTGTTGTTATTATATGCCATCAAGTGAACTGCAACTCATAGTGACCCTGTGAACAACAGATCTCAGCTCTGCCCTGTCCTGTGCCATCTTTACCATCCCACATATGCTGGAGCCCTTGGCTGCTGTCACTGTGTCAATCTGTCTTAATAAGGGTCTTCCTCTCTTACACTGACCCTCCACCTTTCCAAGCATGATGCTCTTCTCCAAGGACTGACTCCTAACAACCTGTCCAGAGTGTCTGAGATGAACTTTCACCATCTTTGCCTTCAAGGAGTACCCTGCTTTTACTTTCTCCAATGCAGATCCATTTGTTCTTTTGGCAGTCCAGGGGACATTCAGTACTCTCCTCCAGCACCACAACTCAAAGCCATCGAGTTTCTTCTGTCATCTCTAGTCATTGCCCAGCTTTCAGATGCATAGCAAGTCATGGAGCCACCTCAGGCTCCAGCAGCGGAGGAAGTCTTGTCCAGACTCGCTCGACTGACACTCCAGTAAGCTTGTGCATTGCACTTCAGCCCAGGCACGTTCGTTTGTCCACACAGCCGAGCAAAAGCTCAGGGGGTGATTCTCATCTTGTGTGCTTGGCCCTTGATAATTTTTCTCTCTCGTCTCCTTTGCCCCTGTTGCTGGTTCCATGTCACAGAAACCTCATGTTTCTGACCTGCAGTGTGGAACATCACGAAGTGTGATGGGATTCATTGTCATCATCTTATAGGACTGAGGACACAGGCTCAGGGAATTGCATGGGCACCTAGAGCCTGCGAGTTCAGGCTGAGCTGCCCGGGACCCTGTGCAGTGGGAGGCCAGAAAGCCCCTTTCTGCTTCAAAGGAGGACATTTGACTTTGTAGAACAGGGAGTCCAGCAGTTGCTGCTGGGTCTGGGAAGGCAGTTAGCCTCTAAGAGCAAGGGGGACAGGGCTGACACATCCCTGTTAACCTTTTGCCCACATGGTCCTGCAAGTCGGCCAGGCTCTGGCACCCTGAGAAGTGCTGGGGCAGCACTGGAACACGTGCTCTGCTCTCGGGCAGCTTCTTTGCTGGTGGGTACCATAGTGAAGGGCACAGTCCAATGAGGTAGCATGTAGTAAGAAAGATCTGCAAGTAGTGGGACCAGGGGATCCTTGTGGGATTTGCTATTTTGTCCAGGGAGGTCAGCAGGCCCCTGTAACGGAGCAGCATGTAAAGAGAAAAGGGAAGGAAGCAGGCCTGAGGGAGTTGGGAGGGAGAGGCCATCCTGGGCGGGAAGACCAGGGAGGGTACTGTGAATGTTCAGCGCTCCAGACAAAGCACCTCTGCAGGGAGCTGGGGCTCACTTTGGTGGGAGGGTGCCCCTGGCGTCCTATCACCCTCCAAGACCATGACATTTGGTCTGGGTTCACTGCCACCGGCTCCAGGACCTCCACTCCCAGCCACCCTGGATCCAGCACCTCCACTCCCAGCCACCCTGGCATCAGGAACTCAGCCAGGATCAGAGCAGAGCTGTGCACCACAGCTTTCCAGTGACTGCATTTTCAAAAGTAGATCACAGGCCTGTCTTCCTCGGCATTTCTGGCTTGACAAACCATCACCTTTCTGCTAGCAGGGGGCTTATTTGAGTGGGTGATGATGGAGGACATTGAGGGGCAGCTCCAAAAAACCAAGGCAGGAAGGTGGACTTAGCTCTTGGATAAATAATTCTCAAGTGTGAACTTGGACTTTGACTTGTTAATGCTGGAGCCATCGCAGGTCTGTGGTTCATCAGTGTTTGAGGGGAGATCAGCAGGGTGGTGTGCACACTCTTAGGTGGGAAGCCTGCCCCCTACTCTCTGGCGTCCCTAGTCAGGGCAGCAGTGATAAAAGGTCACCTGCAATCCAAAGGCAACATGAGCTGGCCTGGTGAGGTGGAAGAAGCGGGCAGTGCACGCTTCTGTCCACACCTGCCTGCTCTTCTGGGAAGAAACGAGGAAGTCCTGAGGGCCACACGAATCTGTTGGATCAGACAAGGGAGGGCCGAGGTGGGGCCTGTGGGTCTTCTTATTTCCTCCATGGCCTCTGAGGCCTGTGGATTTAGAGCTCAGAACAGTGATAGAGAATGTGGATGCTTTGGTGGTCACCATGCTAGGCCAGGGACTTTGGCCTGACAGGGATGAGGTGCACATGGGGCTGCTACAGCTTGGTAGTTAGTGGGCCCACATTTCCATCTGCACCATCCTGCCCTGAGAACCCTGCTCTCTGTCTCTGCAGTAATGAGGTATCCCCTTTGTGTCTCCCTGCAGTGATGGGTCATCCCCTCTGTCTCCCTCTGCAGTGATAAGGTGCCCCCTCTGTGTCCCTCTGCAGTGATGGGATGTTCCTTCTGTCTCCCTCTGCAGTGATGGGTCGTTCCCCTATGACTCTGTTCCTTGGCAACAGAACACCAACCAGCCTCCAGGCTCCCTCTCCGTGGTCACTACGGTTTGGGGAGTGACCAATACATCCCAGAGCCAGGTAAGAGCCTGCCCTGCACCACCCCAACCCCTCTAGGCGGGAGGGTCCCTTGATCCCTGGTCTTTGAGTCCCCTCACCATGCCAACACACCTCGCTTTACAGGCTCTGCCTGGTGGAAGGAGGAGCTTTGGAGGCACATCCATTTGCATCCTCATGCGCCCCCCCGCCCCCCAGGCAGCTCCAGCATGGGGCTATTCCCAGCCCACATTGGCTTTGATTTCATAAATGGGCTTCAGGCCAGGCTCCCTTGTCTGTGGTCTGTGCTCCAGGTGGCTGGGTTAGGTCTCACTGAATGCTCTGCCTTCAGCGTGTGATAGAGCTCCGGCCTCTACGTGGCCAGCCTTCCCTTTGTGGTCATTCATTGTCCTCCCTTCCCTCACTCCTTCCCCTTTGCTCTGCTCCTTCCTTTGCCTCGATGTGGGGCTGCCCCAGTGCAGGGACTCCCCCTGCCCAGCCTCCCACACAGAAGACACCACCCACTTGCCACTTCAGGAAAGCTGGGGACTTCCCTGTGGTCTGGGCTTAGTGGTCTCTCAGCCTGAACTGCCCTTGAGCTGGCACAGTGGGTCCCCTTTGTCCTCACGGAGCACCCATGGCTGATACCCCAGCTCTTCCTGCCTGCTGCGGTCCCTGGACACTGACCACCACTTGGATTGGACTTGTGGACCCTCAGCAGTTTTCTGGTGACGTTTCTTCTTCCCTTAGCTGTCACCAGCTTAGGCCTGCATCCCTCTAGTTATGACACAGACACACATCTCTCTCTCCCCACAGTTGTCTTGCTGTACAAACAAACACACATACACACACCCACGTACACACCTCTACCTCTTCTGTCCACATTTCCGGGCTACCATCATGTGGATGTGCACTTTCTCCTCCCACAGGTCCTCGGGAACCCGATGGCCAGTGCCAACAACCCCATGAATCCCGGTGGCAATCCCATGGCGTCGGGCATGACCACCAGCAACCCCGGCCTGAGCTCCCCTCAATTCGCCGGGCAGCAGCAGCAGTTCTCGGCCAAGGCCGGCCCTGCTCAGCCCTACCTCCAGCAGGGCATGTATGGGCGACCCAACTACCCTGGCAGCGGGGGCTTTGGGGCCAGGTGAGCAGGCTGGCCAGGTGTCAGCTCCAGCATCGGCACAGCCGTCCCAAACCCAGCTGCCTCCTTCCTGACTGGGCAGCTGTGGACAGTTCTGCCTCATCTGTCCTCAGTGATGCCCTCAGTCACAGGGTGTGGCCAGGGCCCACTTAGGGTGCTGGCCTATGATGGAGTAACTGCTTCCAGACCTAGTGGCAGAGAAGGGACCTTCCTTACCCCTCAGAAGGACCCTTCCCTGAGCCCTTTTGAGAGCACTAGGCCCGGACAGTAGGGAGCAGCACTGGTTGGGTACAGATTCCCACAGTGACATGATCTCAAAGCCTTACTCTGCCTGTCGTCATGGGCACAGCACTGGCCAAGGCTAGAAGCTCCTGGGTTCATGAAGACAGTAGGAAGGGACAGGAAAGACCCTCCCCCCTCCCCCCAAGGAGGTACAGAACTCAGAAAAATAACCACCCCCCATGGTACAGAAATCAGAGGCGCCCCACCCGTCACAAAGCCCTCCCTGTTCTTCAGTCTGACTGCAGTCCTGCTGAGTAGCTGGGCACAGGCTGCAGAACAGACTGGCTAGGGGCTAAACACAGAGGCTCTGGGATCCAGGTAACTAGAGGCTGCACTGGCTCCACAGCCGCTGCAGGGACCTGGGCACAGTGATCGGGATTCTGAGGCATAGCCCACGTGGCTATGAGGACATGATAAACCTGGCTCTGGGATGCACCCCGCCCAATTCCCAGTGTAGCTCTAGGAGCCCAGCTGGGGAGGTGCTCCCCTAGTGTTGAGAATAGCTGCCTGCTACAGCAGGCCCAGAGTTAGGGTGCCCCACCCCATCTGTGAGCTAGGGTCCCGGCACACCTGGGCACAGCCTGTCCTTTTCCTAGCAAACACAAGAGTAGTGTACCCATCTTTAGATTCAGGGACTGTCTAATGCTTACGTTCTTCTCCTGGCAGCTACCCTGGGGGTCCCAGTGCCCCTGCAGGCATGGGCATCCCACCACACACCAGGCCACCTGCTGACTTCACTCAGCCAGCAGCTGCTGCAGCCGCCGCTGCAGTAGCAGCAGCAGCAGCCACGGCCACAGCCACAGCCACAGCCACGGTGGCAGCCCTGCAGGAGACACAGAACAAGGACATAAACCAGTATGGACCGGTAAGGGTTCCCATCGGCCAGGCCCAGCCTCACCCCCTCATCAGAGTTGGGGTGTTGATGTTTGTGAAGTCGTGCGTGCCAGGGAGGGTGGAGTGTGTGGTCCATTGGGCTTTTCTTGGAAGCACGTGGAAGGGGATGGGTGTGGGGGGTCTGGTGTGGTTGGGTGCTCGTGTTTGTTCCGTGTCTGCATGAGGAAGGAGCATCCACACTGCGTGCGGGGACACTGTTTCCTGAGAAACAGACTTGGCCTCTTAATAGGAGCCTTTCCAGTCTTTTCCCCAGTGGCTGTGAAAGCCAGTCCACCTCTAGTCACCCTCCCAGTCTCTCAGACCCTAGACCTTTTAAAAAGGATGGGACCAGGATGAAGTTAGGCACAGGAAATAGGGAGGGGACAGCAGGACAGGTGGACAGAGGTGGAAGCTGGCCACAAAACTGTAGGATGTTGTGTACCATTGGAGGTACCATCTCACATGGGAGGAAATTACCCATCCTTCTCCCACAGAGCAGTGGGTGGGTTTGAACCACAAGCCTTAGGGCTGGCAGCACAACTCCTTAGCACTAGGCTGCCAAAGCTCCCTAAACTGTAGGATAGGAGGGTGTATCTCCACTGGCCACAACCAAGGGTTGGCTCAGAATTCTCAGAAAAAGGCTACAGCCTCACATCTTCCTCTCCTTCATCCTCCTTACCCCTGTACATTTCCCCTCTCCCTGCCTGCCTACTGGAAATGCTGCCTGTGCGTCAGTGACCCCCCATCCCACCCCCCACCCTCCACAGCAGTCCCCAGCCAGGCTCCAGCTTCCCGTATGGCCTGCAGAGGACAGCAGTGAGCCCGCGCAGCCCAGAGCTCCCACCACCCCAGTCCTCCCACAGCCCCATCTTCCCTCCCTGCACTTTCAATGCATGTGGCATTTTATTCTTTTTTTTTTTTTCTTCTCCCGTTGAAGGTGTGTTCCTCTTTCCAGATGGGTCCCACCCAGGCGTATAACAGCCAATTCATGAACCAGCCCGGGCCACGGGGGCCTGCCTCCATGGGGGGCAGCATGAACCCTGCCAGCATGGCAGCTGGCATGGCGCCCTCAGGAATGAGTGGTCCTCCCATGGGCATGAACCAGCCCCGGCCACCTGGCATCAGCCCCTTTGGCACACATGGGCAACGGATGCCCCAGCAGACCTACCCAGGCCCCCGGCCACAGTCCCTTCCCATCCAGAGCATAAAGAGGCCATACCCAGGAGAGGTGAGTGGGGAGCAGCAGAGCCAAGAGGGGGAATATGTGGGTCTTGGTGGTGTAAGTTTTGGGATAGTGCCCTGGAAAGGGTATGGACTGATCTTTGGAAGATCTAGGCCTGCCACTGAGTCACCTTGAGCTCATCACCTCGCTGAATCTGTTTCCTTCTTGGAAAAATGGCTGTGACAATCTGACCCAGCCTCCAGGGAGGGCTATGTGAGGGGCTTAACTGAGGGGTGTGTGCAGGACTTCACCCAGGGCTCGGAGTAGACGGGCACTTAACGAACAGTGCTGTCAGCCCCCAGCTCATGACAGCCCACCACAGCACAAACCATGGAAGGGCCGTCCAGTCCTGCACCATCCTAGGGCCAACCAGGGGAGGTTCTCAGTGTCTGGCTTTTGGAAGCAGACTACCAGGTCTTTCCTCAGAGTCCATCTTGGTCTGACAGCTCCACCAAAGCCCATTCCCCATCCTAGCAGTGTCAGCCCTCTGACAATTGGGTGAGTGCTGCATACGAGGTGTGCTGGCCAGATTGAACCCTGGCCTCCTACATGGAAAGCGGGTATTTACCACTGAACTAACTGCCAGTGCCGCGCCAGCAGGGAGCGGACACCACGGGGTTTCTTCTTTTAGTTCAGACACTACCTGGGTGACTTCGGGTAAAGAACTGAACCTCCAAGGATCACTAACCCTCTCACCCACGTGTAATGCCCAGGCTTCCACACTTCTAAAAGTGGCAGAGTAAGTGAAGCCCATTGGGGGTGTGGGGAGCCTGTTAAGGGCTGTAACTGGAAGGCAGACCACATGTTCTAGGCTTTGTGTGCATTGGCATCGTTTTGTCAGGAGAGCGTCTCCCAGTTGGCTGCCCGGGACGCTAAGGAAGATTTATGGCAGTAAGCTGCACACTTCCTGTCTGCCAAGGTCTATGACTTTCGCAGAAAAGGAGATTTAAGCAGGAACCTGCAAGGGAGTTCTGCCGAGGGGAGGGCACAGTGTCAGGAATAAGCCTCGAGCTGCTGGAAGGGGACTTCCTGGAGCAGGTGTCACAGGCCTTCAGCAACATTTACAAAACAAATTGGCAGCCATGGGGGTGTCTGTGTAACAACTTGGTTGACCGTCAGGAGACATTTTTAAAAGCCAGGTGCTGTGGAATTGGCTGAACTTCCTGGTGACCTCACATGTCAGAATGGCCCGTTTCCCTAACCTGGATGACCAGGCCTTGCTTCTGAGGCATCTGTGGGTGAACCTCATTAGCAGGCAGGCCCATTAACAGTTTCCACCAGAGGGACTGTGCAGTCCACACGGACCCAGTGCTCACTCCTCACCACGCCTGCCTTCCCTCACTGTTTCCTGCACATTGTCTCCCTCCCTTCTTATCTTAGAGTTGACCGTATTCTTCAGGCTTTAGCTTGAAGATCTGTGACTGACCTCTGTGTCCTTACTAGCATGGCCTGGCAGGTGGCTTGGCGATTTAGGAGTGCAGGGGGAGCAAGAGGCTGGCGTCGGGCCCCGAGCCACTGGCTCCATTGGCAGCAGTTCACCAGGGGGCTGGAGGAGGAGGCGCTGACCTCTCGGGCTCAGCCTCCTCCCCAGGGTCTGGCCACCACGCGGGTTCTGGCACTCCCCTCAGCCCCCTGTGTGTTTAGATTCTCAGCATCACCCCCGCTGGTCAGCCCAAGATGCAGTGCAAGCACAGTGTCAGGGTGGCCATCAGCAAAGGGGCCACGTGGGGACAGGCCGCAGCAGAATTCCCGGTCATTCACCTGACGTGAACCCAGCACCAGTGCTTGGTGACTTGGGTCCAGCTCCTTTCAACTAGAGCAGGACATGTAAAAGACTCTCGACATCTTTAGAGTTTATCACTGATAAAATGCTACTGCCTCCAGCCTACAGAATGCCTGGTGCCAGACAGAGCCCCAGTGTCGTGTCCCCCCCCCCCCCAATACAGGGTCTCTTGTCCCTTCACCACCAGACCTTTCTATGGTATGGCCTCTTGTCCATGCCCACAACTGACCACCACACGTGGTGTGCTCTGTCAGCTTGGCATGTGGGACAGGACCTCTCCCCAGAATGGAGGAGTAGCAGGGTGGGAAGCTTCTCCTATTGGCTGCATCCACTTCACTTGTCGCAGCTGGTGTGGACCTTTGTGCACGCAGTTCTGCCCCAGGTGCTGAGCACTGAGCCTTGGGAGGCTGCTTCCTGTAGCAGGAGGCACTAAGGTGCCTGGAACCTGCAATAGGCCCCACAAGGCATAGCTGTAGGTCAGCGGTGGCCCCAAATACAGGCACTGGGCAGAAAGAGGTATCCTGGGTTGTGTGAGCAAGAAGAGGCTTTGGCATTTCTCACCGCAGCCCTTGCAATCTGCAGATAAGGAAGGGCGTCTGTAGATGGGCAGAGCAGTTAACGAAGGGTGTTGCTGGCTGTAGGGTCGGCAGCTCAGCTCATTGGTGTTGATGACCTGTCCCCTCCTTGTCTCTTTCTCTGCAGCCCAACTATGGAAACCAGCAGTATGGACCAAACAGCCAGTTCCCCGCCCAGCCAGGCCAGTACCCCACCCCCAACCCACCACGGCCGCTCACCTCTCCCAACTACCCTGGACAAAGGATGCCGAGCCAGCCAAGCAGCGGGCAATACCCACCCCCTACGGTCAACATGGGGCAGTATTACAAGGTTAGCCCTACCTCAAGGGTGTCCATGCCACCCCAAGCCAAGCCTCCACCTTTGAGCCCCAGCCACAGCCCTTCCATGTCATTCTGACCCTTGTGTGTTCCCAGGATGATACTGGGGTGGCCGGGGATTCTGGATGAGTCCCTGTGTGTTCAGAGGTCGTGTGCTGGCTTCCTAGGGCGGCCGTAGCAAGTGCTAGACATCCAGCAGCTGAAAGCAGCCAGCTTAATCTGTCACGGTTCTAGAGGCCGGAATCAAGGTGCTAGCATGTTGTGCAGTCTGAAGACCAGGCAGGAGTCCTCCTCTGCTCTTTATAGCTTCTGCTAGTGGTGGTAGACCCACCTCCATCATCACACGGTGTTCTTGTCTTCTGAGGATACCACCTTTGGGATTTAGGGCCCTTTCTCATCTCACATGACCACTTCTTGATGACATCTGCAAAGACCCTTCCAGACAAAGTCCTTTTTACATGTATCAGGGATTAGAACCTTAGCATAACTTTTGGGGGGCACAGTTCAACCCATCTGGAGCACTGGTGACCTAGTGGTAAGGAGTTGTACTGCCACCAGACAGAAGGTTCGAGTCCACCAGCTGCTGTGCTGGAGAAAGATGGGCAGTGTCCGTCCATGCCATTTACAGCCTCTGAAAACTTGCTGGAGAGTCAGCTATAGTCTGGTTCTGACTCAATAGCAATGAGAGTTTGGGATCTTTTTCAGCCCACTGCACTGTTCTGTAGTGGCCGCGAATGGCCACCTGGCTGTGCATGGAGCCCATCCTCTATGAGATGGAAGTAAATTCTCCTTCCCTTTACTGTTACTTAAGGTTTACAAGATATATTCTTAGAAGCCCACATCCTGAGTATGTGAAACTTTGACTCTCTCCATGCACCCCTGTGAGCACTGACATCTTACAGTTATTCCCATAGTTAGTATATAGCATATTCCTCTGTTACTCCCATACTTTGTGATTTTGAGTCATACATGTTATTGCTCAGGGCCCTCTGCGCCTCACCACCCTAGCCTGACCCAGCCCCGATGGCCCTGTTTGCATCTTTCCCTTTCCAGTGTCTTGGACACTGAGTTGGCTCTCACATGTAAAATAATGAAACCTCTTGGGGAGTTGGTTTGAACTCACAGGGACCTCATGAATTTCAGCAGAATGGTGCTCTCATGTTGTTCTGATTTGGAAGAAGTAGGTTGCCAGACCTTTATTCCAAAGTGCCTTGAATTGGACTCAAACCTTCAACCTTTGCTTAACAACTGAATGTGTTAGGTATTTGCGCCATATGTCAAATTCTGATTCAGTCATTACTGTCAAGTTGGAACCAATGCTTGACTGAGCAACCAGTGATTTTTCGGAGGCTGTAAATCACATGGAAGATTACCCATCTTTTCCTCTCGTTGCTGCTGGTTGATTTGAACCACTGGAGCAGTGTTTGGTTAGGTTATCAACTCAGCTCCCTACGGACCAGGCCACCAGAGCTCACAGAGGTGGTTGTTGTTATGTGTCATCCAGTTGGAACCATCTCATAGCTGGCGATTTTCACGGACAGTAAGTCATCCAGGAGCTGCTTGCCTGTCTTTCTCCTATAGAGCAGTTGGTGGATTTGAACCATGTACCTTGACTTGGCAGCATGATTCCTTACCATCATGCCACCAGAGCTCCCTTGCAGGTTAATAGGAGTCCTTAAACAGAAGGGCAAGGAGCTCTGATTGTACTGTGGCTACAATGTTTGTCTGCTAGCCAAAAGGTTGTAATTTCTGAGCCACCCACTGCTCTGTGTTCCCATAGAAGTTAACAACTGTGGAAACCCTGTGGGCCAGTTCCACTCTGTCCTGTAGAGTTGTAATGAATCATAATCAACTCAGTGACAGTGGATTTACTTGGGATTATAAACAAAAACACATCAACAAGCTTTACATTGATCACTTGATCTAAGCATGACAAGAGGCTCTGAGGAACTCAGCCCTGCTGAATTTCCCTAGGAGAGTGGCTCAGTCTGACCAGGGATGAAGTCATAGGGCAGAACTACCTAAAATACATTCTCAGAGTGAAGGCGGCTCTGGAAACCACTTAAATTTATTTGCTGAAGCACCGTACCAGCTTACAGACAGTCACTGTGTGGGTTGGTGTATTTTTTTGCTACAACTTCACTCTGGAAGCTTCTATTTTTGTAAGCCCTTTTACTGAAATAATGCCTATGGACACAGAGAAACTAAACTAGACAAAACAATTCCCTTGGATGACCTGCTCGACCCCCACCCCACTCCAGACAAGCCTCTTGCCCCCTGGGACCCTGGCAAATTTGTAAATGAAGAATGAGAACAGGTTTCTGATCGTTTCTCTGCTCATAAAGTTGTTTATTTCCTTTTAATAGCCGGAACAGTTTAATGGACAAAATAACGCCTTCTCGGGAAGCAGCTACAGTAACTACAGCCAGGGGAACGTCAATAGGGTATGTGCATACTTGAGTTTATGAAATTACAACCCATACACAGTTGTTAAACCTAGAGGGTCTTCGTTCCTGCCATGGTCTATCTGGATATTAATTGGAGTCCCTCTCTGGTCACTTGCTCTGGATAGTTTATGGGGTAACAAGTATGGACCCAGCTGGTCGCAAAAGAGTACCGAGAGCTGAAAGAAGTTGGGGGGTGGGGGTGCTCTTTTGGGGACCCAGTGTTCCCATTGTATCGTGAACCCTGACTCATCAGAGGACCCCATGGCATAGAGCCTGGGGCAGAAGGGAGGTGTAGCTTAGAATTTTAGAGTTGGAAGCCAGCTTGGCGGGCAGCAGGAGACCTGGCCTTGATCCTAGCTCACCTCTTCTCCGAGGGTATGTTAGACAAGCCCCTCAGGGCCCTGCACCTCAGTGTAGCTATCTGTCAAATAGGCTGGGGGCTCTGGGCTTGCCTGACATGGGGTAAAGATTCATGGACCCTTCCCAGACCCAGTTTTGTTCCAGAAATGACAGAGGCCTGGATGCTGATGTGGCACGGGGGGTGTGGAGGGTGAATATTCACAACCACAGCCTCTCCCTCCCTGTGACCTTATAATCTCTGAATGGTCTCTGTTTTCTTCCAGCCTCCAAGGCCAGTTCCTGTGGCAAATTATCCCCACTCACCTGTTCCAGGGAACCCTACACCCCCCATGACCCCAGGGAGCAGTATCCCCCCATACCTGTCCCCCAGTCAAGACGTTAAGCCTCCGTTCCCACCTGACATCAAGCCAAATATGAGTGCTCTGCCTCCCCCCCCAGGTGAGTGTCCTGTCCTTCTCTCCAGTGTCCTCCTCAGCAGGTTGCTGTCAGGCTGTTGTGGACAACACAGAGCTAACCCTATGGGCCAGGAGCAGGGAGCTTAGAAATGGGCTTCCCTGGAGGGCTGAGGAGAGGGCAGGAAGGCTGCTCAGTAGAGGTCCTGGTGACAAGGGAGAGTGCAGTTTTCTCGGGACGGGGCTACCCGCAGCTCTGGCCCTGTCTGTCCCACTTGGTGCCAGAGCTGAGGTGAGGGGCAGCTGACTCTGAGATTCTTCACCTGAATCAGGGGCCTCAGGTCCAGCCCAGGCCCCATTCCAGGATGGCTGCTTTGGTTAGACTGGAAGCTAGCTCACCTATGCCAGTGTCCCAAAGTGGTCCTGGGGCTCGACCTTGGGTTGGGGGTTGGGATTGCCCCCCAGAGCTTTCAGAGCAGATGAATTGTGGAAGGAAAACCAAGGAGGCCGAGCCCCTGAGTGAGACCGGACACCGGAGTGAACGCAGAGTCCTGGGGTCCCCTTAGCATGCATCTCTGTATGTCTCAGAGTGGGCAGCTCTAGCGTACAGGTAGTCATGTACGGGGGTGCCCCATAGTCAGGCCGTGTGGCTCACGTCTCCTACCCTGCAGCCAACCACAATGACGAGCTGCGCCTCACCTTCCCCGTGCGGGACGGTGTGGTGTTGGAGCCCTTCCGCCTAGAGCACAACCTGGCCGTCAGCAACCACGTCTTTCACCTGCGGCCCACCGTCCACCAGACGCTGATGTGGAGGTGAGTGTGAGGGTGGGCCCAGAGATTTCCTGCCCCCTCCATCTGTGCAGCAGCCTTGCCTGGACAGGGCCAAGGATATCAGGGGACGTGCAGGTGTAGTGGGCGGAGACAGACATCCACAGCTCATGGTCCAAGGGCAGGGAAGTCGCTGCCCCTGTTAGGAAATGTGTCCCAGGAGAAATAATGGGTTACATTCAGAATTAGAAACCAAAAAAGGAGGGTATTCAACAGAGGCCTAGGGCTCACGCAGGCAGCGCAGCCAAAACTTCTGAAGTGGCCTGTTCTTCCCAGAGGGAGCTCTGTGGCTGCATCTTTCAGTCGTGCTTCTAACCCTAAGGCGATCCCTCCCCAGCAGTTCAAGCCCACCAGCAGCTCTGTAGGAGGGAGCTGGGCAGTCTCCTTCTACACCTTGGAAATCAGCTCTAAGTTATTTTCGACTGGATGGCAGTGAGAGTGAGTGTCCTGGCCGAAGCCGGGAATGCAGAGATGTGAGACTAGAGCTTGGCACGGGGCTGGGGCATGAGTCTGCAGCTTGGGTGTTGCCCACCGGGGGCCTTTTGGAGTCCAGGGTTCTAGACAGGGTCTTTGTTGCGCTGACCCATGGTCAACCCTTTCCATACCAGATCTTTGATAGTGTGAGTAGGTCATTCTCTCCCTGTTGATGGATGAGGAAACTGAGGCCAGAGATGTTGAGTCTGTATGAGTTCTCACAGCCAGCAAGGGCTAGATCCTGGATCCTGGCTCTGTCCACTAGGTGCCACCTCTGCGGGCAGGACTCCCCTGTCCCATTGGGCCTGGGGGCATCTTGAAAACAAGTGATGGGCCCTGGCCTATCACATACACGTGAACACACTTCCATACTCAGTGACCGTTGCTGGGCCTCACTGAGCAGGCTGCTGAAGGCAGAGACATGGCATGGGGTTGGAATACTGATAAGACGGTGAAGAGACCCCCCTAGTATTTAGGTGATGGGGGCTTTGCTTACTAAGATCATGTTACGAGCCTTGTCTCCCCCTGGCTTTGACCCCCAAATCCCCCTGGTTCCATGTGATACAACTGCTGGCTTTGTGCTGATCTTCCAGTGTTTATCCAGACTGACCTCCGGCCCCAGGCAGGCCTTAACACTTCCCCATGTCAGCCACACTCTGCCTACCCACACCCAGCACCTGGCTAGACCTCTTCTTGCTTCCCACTCCCTGGGTAGGCTCCTGCTGGCCAGCACCAGCCAGGGCACAGAGTCCCATCTGGGGCTGCTGTTACCATCATGTCAGCTCGGATTGTGGTGACCCAGGTGTGCCTGTACATACCTGTGGGGTTTTTAGGATTGAACCTTTGGGGAGCAGGTCGCCAAGTTTGCTTTCTGAGGGTCTCTGTGTGCCTGTCAATCACCAGCCTTCAGCTGGTTATGGAGTGCTTGATGATTTGCACCACACAGGGTCTCTTGTGTGTTCTGTGGTAGTCTTTCTAAGAAGAGAATGGGGTGTGGCTTTGACCCACCTCCTCTTTCAGTCTCTATTCCAAATCAGTGAGGTCAGCCCCAGAAAGGGCTCCCCAGAGCAGCTTGGCAAGTACACTGCAGGGTCAGATGCCGCTCCCTGACACGAAGCCCCCTCCTCCGCTGGCCACCGTTAAGTGGAGGGTGTGTTGAGGATCATAAGGACGTGGGTGATGTGGTCATTTGAGAGAGAGTCCTCCGGCAGGGTGGCTGCAAACTGACCTGGGTTAATAAGCAGAATTCGACAGGAGCCAACCACAGAGATGAGAGGGAGTGGGGAATACAGTACCCCAGTGCATTTGCCTGTACACCAGCTCTCCTGGCAGACCCCCTCCTCGTGTTGCCCAGGCTGGACCAGGACCCTGGAGTCTCAGCTCCCAGTGGTGCTCAACTTTCCTGAGTTGAGCTGTTCACCTCCTGCCCCTGGCCACTCTTATCTGACCACTTTTCCCCATGGCTGCCATAGGCCTGGCACACTCTAGGCCTCCCTGCTCTGCAGAACCATCTCAGAACAGGTGCCTGAGAAGTGCTGTGCCCTCCACATGCTCATGTCCTCCATGAAATGCTCAGGCCAGAAACAGCCCTGGCCTGGCCACTTCCCCCAAGCATCAGGGACCAGCCACTGAAATTGGCATCCTCACTCCACTGTTTATGTACTGGTAGTTCAGTGGTCAGAGCCTGGAGCTTGGACTCCACCAGCTGCTCCATGGGAAAAGAGGAGACAGTCAGCTTCTGTAAGGAGTGGTGGTGGTGTTGGAACCAACCCATAGCTGACCCTCTAGCGGGTTTTCAGAGGAGAGGGAGGAGGCTGCCCATCTTTCTCCTGTGGAACAGCTGGTGGATGTGAACAGCTTGCCCTCAGTTTGGCAGCGCAGCTCCTCAGCACTAGGCTTGAGCTAGCACTTAGCATGGAGCTCCTTCCATAAGGATAACAGTCTCAGAAACCCTCGGCCGCTTCTGCTCCATCCTCTAGGCACTGCGTTACAGCCGACAGCGGCGGGTCGACTTTGGTTTGGTCTCCGTCCTCAGCAGACAAGGGTCAAAAAGATCTGAGAGAGGCTGGTCTCCTTTTCCTCTGTCGCCCCTAAAGGAGGGGTCAGGAGAACTCATAGCCTGAGCTGGGGCCTTTGTCTAGAGTGGATGATAGGAGGGAATTTGGAACAGGCATTTGAGCTGTTAGGTTGCATGTTGATGAGATAGGGGAAGGACAGTGGGGGTAAGAGAGACCTAGGGGAGCAGCCTTGGATAGGATGAGAGTCCTGAGGGGCCGGGGAGGTTGTGTGAGTTCAGAGGTGTGTGACCTGGCTGGAATGGTCAGACTGCCTGGAGAGGCACAGGGCAGCCCTTTCAGAGTCCACCCAGCCTCGTTTGCCCCCTGCAGGTCTGACTTGGAACTGCAGTTCAAGTGCTACCACCACGAGGACCGGCAGATGAACACCAACTGGCCGGCCTCAGTGCAGGTCAGCGTGAACGCCACCCCCCTGACCATCGAGCGTGGCGACAACAAGACGTCCCACAAGCCCCTGCACCTCAAGCACGTGTGCCAGCCAGGCCGGAACACCATACAGATCACCGTCACAGCCTGCTGTTGTGTGAGTGTGGTGGCGGGGAGGGGCCACAGGCACCCAGGCCCTCTTCTCTCACTTCTGTCCTGAGTGTCCCCTTCTCCCATGGTGCCAGGTAGCCTTTCAGAAACAGCACTCACTGCAACTAGCATGCTAGGGCCAGTGGAAGAAAAGGCAGACTCCAGGCAGAGGGTGTTCATGCCCCCCTCAGGGTATAGGGGTCAGGCTTCACCTTTCTTTTCCCTTTCTGTGCTGCATCCTCCCTCTGTTCCCCTTTCTTCCCACATCCCCCCTTTCTTCTCCTTGCTCTATTACATGGACACCTCCTTGTGCCCCGTCTATCCCTGGGGGGGGAGGGGGTGGGCTCTGTGTGTCCTTCAAAGCTCTTATTGCTCAAGAAATAAATGCACTGCCTCCTTCTAGGACTGCTCAGTCCCCCACGTCTGCATTACCTTTCCCTCCCTTCAGAAGCCCTGTCCCTTCAGGGCCTTTGCAGGGATCTGGGATCTGCCTTCTGTCTGTTCCCCGGAGATCAGGGCCTAGCTTGCTCTGGGATCTCAGAAGGATGTAAACTGTGCATCACAAGAGTAGTGGACTGTGCACCCCAGCTGCACTCTGGAAACACAGAAGAGATAAACTCTGATCCCCATACATGAGCAGAGTGTGCCACAGCTGCCCTGACAGAGTAGTGACAGCCAGGATTGTATGTGGGGTTGTGCAGCTGTTAGAATGGGGCACGTTGAAAGAGGAGGTGGGACCTTCCTCTAGCAGTAAGGTCATGCAGAGGACGCATGATGGGCGCAGTGTTAGACAGTGAGTTGGGCTCCAGTCCTGATACTGTATGTCCTTAGCCCCACTTGTGGGTGATTCAAGTCCTTGACCCTGAGGCAGGAGTCCTAGGGTGGTGACCCCAGGCTGGGTTCTCAGGTCACATAGTGCATCCTGGGCCTCTCCCGGCCCCAGGGTTTGCTCTGAGTGGCCTGTCTGTGGGAGTGGGAGCCTTTATCCTGCCTTGCCTCTGGGGCTCACAGTATGAGTGACCACCCTGTCTCTCGCAGTCTCACCTGTTCGTGCTGCAGCTGGTCCACCGGCCCTCCGTGCGCTCCGTGCTGCAGGGCCTCCTCAAGAAGCGTCTCCTGCCCGCCGAGCACTGTATCACAAAGAGTGAGTTGGGACGAGTACAGTCCAGACCACCAGGGTGCGGAGAGGGGGGCCCAGATGTGCTTACACTCACATAAGACCAGCCTCCAGCTCCAGACCAGTCACTGCTGGTCCCGAGTGTCCACCCCTCCTCCCAAAGGGGCTATGGTGATAGATGAGGAAGGCATGGCAGATCCTGGGCACCTGGCAGGGAGTCCGTGACCTCACCATGGGGGACTGGCTGCCAGGCTCAGCTGCCAGGACAGGCATCTGAGCAACAGCAGCACAGATAGATGTGAGACAGATGGCAACAAACTAAGCGGAGGCCAAAGCAGGAGAAGAGGAGATGACCACTAGACTAGACTTTGAAATGGGAGGATTTGGAGAATGAAGATCTGCAGCAGGAAGGTCGCCCAAAGAGTGGATTCCAGACTGGTCTCCCACCTCCACACATCGTGCTTCCCCCTGGAACTGGGGATATGGGTAGTCGAGCCTGCTTCTTTGACTTGGAAGACAGGCCAGGTGATGCCTTCTTCCCTAGAAAACATGCAGGGGTGATCCAGGCTGCCCCTTCTGCCTTTGGTTTTGCTGCTCACATTACTTCCTTGAGCCCTAGAATTCAAGAGGTTGTTTGCTTCCATTTCCACACTTTAAGAATTGAGTGTAAAGCCTGAAGGGCCCTCTGCATTGACCTGGGAATCAGGGAGAGGTGTTGGGCTGTGTTCTGCATGTTCTGTACACAGTCCCTAGGCCCTGGTGAAGGCTGGAACTGAGCTGCAGAAATGGGGCCTGACACAGTCCCCCTTCCAAACTGCCTCTAGAGTGAGGCTGCTAGGAGACCTGTACCCTGCCTCAGAGCTCAGTCTGGGCCAGGCAGGGACTGCTGCTATCTCCTGTAGGGGTGGGAGACCCCTCTCCATCCCTGCCCGCCTCATCCTCTCTGCCTCCCTCCTCCAGTCAAGCGGAATTTCAGCAGCGTGGCTGCCTCATCAGGCAACACAACCCTCAACGGGGAGGATGGTGTGGAGCAGACAGCTATCAAGGTGTCTCTGAAGTGCCCCATCACGTTCCGGCGCATCCAGCTGCCTGCCCGAGGCCACGACTGCAAGCATGTCCAGGTGAGACATCCAGGGATCAGTGCAAGGCCATTAGGCACCATAGGGTCAGTGCCGGGTCCTCTTGCTTTCTCGCACACCTCAGCCTCTCCTTAATGCTTTGAGCATCTTCTCTGATGCTCAGGGCTGGGCTCCATGGGACTCCGAAGGAGTTTAGATCATCCTTGGCCTGGCAGGAGCCAGGTGCCTACTGGAAGCCAGCACGTGTGGCCAGGACAAGTCACAGGATACGGGGGTGGCATGGGGCATCTGGCTTTCTGCCTGTGCAGGAGCTTGTGAGGTGGTGACTGAATGGTCTGCAGTGCTTCCATGCAGCCCTGTGCAGATGAGAGGTGGAGGTAGATGTGGGGTGAGACAGATGAGAGCTGGGGGCTAGGGGAAGATGGCATTTGACCCAGGCTCAGAGATGCTTTCTTCAGAAGAGGGGTGAACAGCCCTCCCTCTGTGTAGACCCCAGTGGAAGAGGCAGAGTTCTGGACCTCTGCATTCTGGGCAGGGGAGGCATCTGGGTCCAGGCCAAGCCCCTTTAATTGGGGTATCACCTGGTTACAAGGATCCTTCTAGACTGAAGCTGTCACCCATTGCCCCATTCACACATTGCAGGTTCTTAAGGGCTTGTAATAGCCAGGCAGGGTTCTCCCTTCCTGTGGGGCGGTGGGTTCACCTTATACTTTCTGTCACAAATGTATCAGCTTAATGGGGTTTGTTCCCGGCTGAGCTGAGGGGGTGACATGAGGTCATGCTGCCCTGACCCCTGGAGCAGTTGCCCCAAGGAGGAGCTGCATCGGGACAGGAACAGGGGAGAGTCTCTGCACCTCCATGGGGTCCTGGGGTGTCCTGGCCCTCTCTGGGGTCGTGGCCTCATTTTTCTCTCTCCCTGATCTCACAGTGCTTTGATCTGGAGTCATACTTACAGCTGAATTGTGAGAGAGGGACCTGGAGATGTCCTGTGTGCAAGTGAGTAACAGTCCCCATGTAACAGCAGGGGTTGGGGGGCATCCAGCCCCCATCACCTTCCCCCAGATTGAAAGAGACTCCAGAACATAGCAGGGAGCTAGGGGGTGGCATTCTGCATGGACCCTCTGGCATCCAGCATCCCATCCTTCAGTTAAGGTTGGAGCCCGGGGTGGGAGCCAGGTTCTGTGTCTACTCCACGCCTCGGGGCAGATGCCAGGGGCAAAGATCAAGCCTCTCCCTCTACTTTCTCAGTAAAACCGCTCTGCTTGAGGGCCTGGAAGTGGATCAGTACATGTGGGGGATCCTGAATGCCATCCAACAGTAAGTGGGGCTCCCTGGTGGGGAGAGGTTATATGTGCACCAGGGTGGGAGGTGGGAATGCCAGCCTGGTTTAGAAAACAGCTATAGTCCCCTTCCCCTGGGTGGCAAACGAACATTCCAAAGCACTGACTTCTCTGTCCACTATGGTGGCTTCTGGCCTGGGCGTGAATGCCTTTCCAGAAGGGCCCAAAGTTGGCTGGATGCACCCTGGTGGGAGGCTTTGGAACCAGGTGCTCCCGCTGCCTCCTGGTCTCTCATTGTTATGAAGTCAGACCTGCTCATAGCTGACCCTCCAGCAGGTTCCCAGGGCTATAAATAGCAGGGGTAGATTGCTCATCTTTCTCCCAGGGAGCTGCTCATGTATTTGAACCGTATGGCCTTTGGGTTGGCCGCACAGCTCCCTGCAGCCTATACCAGAGCTCCATCCATTTCTTAGCAGAGGCCTGAGGCACTGCCATGCCTCTGTCCTACCTGAGGTTCCATGAGAGGAAGGGAGTGGGCCTTAAGGGGTTGTCCTTTTGGAGGGTGTCTCCCTAAAGCTCCCCCATTACCTGCCTTGCCCCACAGCTCCGAGTTTGAGGAGGTCACCATCGACCCCACGTGCAGCTGGCGGCCAGTGCCCATTAAGTCAGACCTGCACATCAAGGACGACCCTGATGGCATCCCCTCCAAGCGCTTTAAGACCATGAGCCCTAGCCAGATGATCATGCCCAACGTCATGGAGATGATCGCGGCCCTGGGCCCTGGCCCGTCCCCCTACCCGCTCCCGCCGCCTCCTGGGGGCACCAGCTCCAGTGACTACAGCAGCCAAGGTGGGTGATGCTAGACAGGGTGGTCGGGGCAGCCCCAAGTGTCCGAAAGGACCCAGGTTTTGTGAGGAAGTAAAGGTAACAATCCCAGAGTTACTCCTGTGTCCCCAGCCTTGTGTGTGCAGTGGCCACTCAGCACCATTGTCCCCTCTTTACCCATCTGCCTCAGTACCTCTGGCCCTCTTGGTTGCAGCCCAGCCAGCTAGATGTGAGGGCAGGGCCACCCCAAAGCCAGCCTCTTGTCTCTGCATCCACTCATCTGCTTCCCACCTCCTTCATAGATCACTCCTTAACTCCTGATGTTGCTGGTACCAAGCTAGGGCATCGGGGCCTGCTAGAGCTTCTGGGGGTGGGAGGTAGCACTAACCCAACCCAGGAACCTGGAACCTTATTTCTTCCCTCTGTATTGCCTGCCCTGCCCCTTCCCTGTAACTCTCCCACCTGCCCAGGGAACTGCCCAGGCACACAGAGCTCTGTCATTTGGCTACTTCCATCACTGGCTCCCACTCCCACCCCCACCCATAGTTCCTAGAAAGCTCTCCACCCCACTCTCAAACCTAGGGTGATCTTGGGTCTCAGAACTTCTGGGGAGATAGAGGCCCCACATGTGCCGGGGATGACCCAGCCCTGACTCCAGTTGGCCAGCTGGCTGGTCCTCTCACCTCTTGCACAGCCACTTGGTGGAGGCATAGTGGCCAAGGGAGCCTGACAACTGGCTTCTTATGTCACCTTGGCCCAATTGAGCTTTCTGTGTAGACTGGGGTAGATCTGACCACCCCTGTAGCCGAGGTCTCACAGCTCTGAAAAGAGATAGTGAGTGGAGCAGCAGTAACAGCTGTGGGGTCCCGCTCAGCACATTAAACTTGTGTCTTCCTCCTTGCCCACCCTGTCCCCAGGAGGCCTCAAGCAGCCCCTGCCTGGGTGCAGAACACTTAGATTCTCCGAGCACACATTCCCATCCTTCTCCCGGGGCAGGGCAGACACCTCCTTCCTGCTAGGTGACCCCCCCTCTTCCCTGTGTCCTTTCCCAGGAAACAACTACCAAGGTCATGGCAACTTTGACTTCCCCCATGGGAACCCTGGTGGGACGTCCATGAACGACTTCATGCATGGGCCCCCCCAGCTCTCCCACCCCCCGGACATGCCCAACAACATGGCTGCGCTGGAGAAGCCTCTCAGCCACCCCATGCAGGAAACTGTGAGTACCTTCTCCCACCAGTGCCAGTCCCCCGCCACTCCCCAGGCCCCTTGGCCTACCTACCTTCCCCCCCGCCCCCGCCCCATCCAGGGCTATGTGTGATATCGATGCTCTCATTCCCTGCCAGGCTGAGTGAGGAATCCAGTTGAGTCTAGGGACTCTGAAAGAAGGAATGAAGGCCTGACTGAGGCCAGCTCATGGCCCAGCCCCTACTAGTGCCCTCAGACTCACCCTGTCTCACCTGGGACTTCCCTGCGCATGCACTTAGACAGGTCCCACTGCCTACTTTATGTACACAGATGTTAACACTTACTCAGCTACTTGAAATGTAGTTCCAAACCCAGGTGTGTATTTCCAAGGGGACTAGACGTTCAGGCTGTCACCTCCTGCAAAACGGCGGTGGCTAAGAAGGTTCGCCTGAGTTGCACAGCTCATCCTTTCTTATTTGTCAAAACATACCCTGTGCTGTACGAGACCCCTTTCCCATGGACCCAGCAGCGGGAGTAGCCAGGCTGTGCGCCCAGGAGGCATCTCAGGAGAGCTATAGGATTCTATCAGCTGAGCACACTTTTCCTGAGCTACCTGTGGCCAGGTGCAAGCAGGACAGCTGTAGGCTCACCCAGTGCAGCTCAGGCTCTTCCAGTGCTCGAGGGGAGGGAGGACCGCTGGGAGGAGCAAGGCTTGAAGGCCTGGAGTGATGCTTCACCATCAGAATGTGGCTTCTGCTGTTTCGCTGCTGGTCTGTCACCTCTAGAGGTGGAAGAGGAGTGGTCACTGGTGCCCTGGCAGTGGCTTTGGGTCAGTCACTGGTGGCCTGGCAGCAGCCGTGGGCCACAGCAGCACAGGAGAAGAATTTTAGAGGCCCTGGCAGTCAGTGGCGGAAGGTGGGTCACAGTGGGCTTGGTCCCTAATGCACTTTGTTCTCGTCAAGGGGTATGTGGCTGTCCCGTGCTCCACACCCCTGGCCCTGACTGCCCTGGCCCTGGCCAGAGCTTTCCTGGAAACCACAGCCACTCCATGCTCGGCGGGAATGCATAGTAATCAGAAAGGCTTTTTTTGAGCTTCCAAGAATACAGGATCAGAAAACTGGTTGTGTGTGCCTTTCCCCAAGTCTTTACAAGTGACTTGCTACTCCTTGGGGTTTCTGACTTGAGGGTACCTCACCCGGACCCCCTTCCCTAGCCCTGCTCTTCAGACCTTAGTATTTTGCACCCAGCAAACCTTCTGGCTACACACCCCAACATAGACACATCGTGCATCCTGCACCCTCGTGGGTCCCCACACAGGACCCACAAGAATGCCGGCTGTTTTCCTTCCTAGTCGCCCTCCTTCCCGTTAGTCCTGCTGCTGGGCTCTTGAGTTGACTTCAGAGCTTCTGGGGTGCTCCACAGCTATGCCTGTCCTTCCACCTTTCTGGGTTCTCACTAGGAAAGAGCTGGACCCACACATAGAAGGTGGAGGATGCTAAAATAAACCCCACTGTACTGCCCAGCTTGACAGCAGCTCCCACCTGGGCCTGGCAGGAGGGTGCCATGCACATACCAGCTCACTTACCAGCTGGCATATTCATGGTTGTATCGGCAGGTGGCCCCACAAACCCTTGCAGACCCTGCGGCCTTCTCTAGAGTAGAGGACTGGGCAGTCAGGAAGAATGCTGCCGGCTGTGGGTGCACGTAGGAAGCATCTGCCGGTGCCCAGCTTACAGAAGTGTGGGGCCAGGCCCTGGTGTCCACAGGCATGGCTGCGGGTCACAAGCTGGCTGCACACCAACATCTGGGTGGCCATTCCTCCAATTGCTCCTGCTCCTCCTTATTATGTGTCATGTGTGTGCAAAACCCCAGGAGTCCCAGACCCCATGGCTGTTTCATCATCCGCATGCTCAGGGCACTGTGCCCAGGGACCATGACGGGGAGGACTGTAACCTGTGTGCACTGGCCAGCCAAAGGAGCAGCTCTTTAGAGAGACAAGAGGGATGAGGAAGGGAGGTCTGGTGGCCTAGTGAAGGCGTGCGGTTCGGATCCACCAGATGCTCCGTTGGAAAAGGAGGGGAAATCTCCTGTGCCGGTCAGAACCAATTCGATGGTACACAGCAAGAAAGGAGAGGGATGAGGGACTGGGATGGGGAGAAAATTCTAGCTAACAGGTTGTCACTCTCCGAACTTGCAGAACAACAAAATCTAGATGTTTGATGTGCAGCCAGAGGACAAGAGGGTAGTGGACAACAAGGAACATTGGTCACCGTGCTGCCTTCTCTTGGAACTGAGGCCCTTGTCCAGTTAGAGTGGGGCTAAGGGTCTGACAGGGATACCTGGGGTGAGAATGGGCTTAGGTCTCTGGACACTTCATCCTCGCCTTTCTCTGAGGTCTAAAAGCAGACATACGAGCAGGCAGACTAGTCAGCCTTCCTCCATGCACCCCTCTGCCCACAGACATCCCCAAGTTTGAAAGGCCTGCCCACTGGTTTTAAATAGGGTGAGTCCTCTTGTGCTGTTTGCGGATCCCCAGCCTTGCCGAGATCCTTTAGAGGCCCTGGCATAAGGCACTCTGCCAAACCTTGTGGTTAAGGCTTATTGCTGATGGAAGCAGATACCAGAACCTGGTTTCACTCCTCCCCAGAGGCAGGAGACAGGGATTGTGCATTCACTCCTCCGGCACCTGAAGGAGCCCACCTGCCCAGCACCCTCCAGGACAGGATAGGGAGCCCCTGCCTGGGCCAGGCCCCTTGAGAGGGCTGTGCACTGCCCCCTGCTGTGTGTCATGTCTGCTGTCTGCTGCCCAGCCCTGGGTCTGCGGCCTGCTGCTGGCTGTGCCGCCTCCGTGCACTCTGGACCCGACCTTGGCCTTCTCCGTTCACCTGCTCCCATGCTCCAGGGTGCTGGTGTCTGAGTCAGGCAGAGGGGCCCAGCCCGTTCACCATGTCTGTGCCTGTCTCCAAGTCCCCTCCTCCCTCCCTACTCTCCCTGCTTCTGCTCCCTCCCTGTGGATGGGTTTTGGGGAGGGCCGTTTTCGTTTCTCTGCAGAAAACATTCCACTTGTAAAGGGGTGGCTTTGTGTTGGGTTTTTGTTTTCTTGATTTGGTTTTCATTTCACCAGGCATCTCGTCGCTGTACCTGGTCACCTCACTTTTCTTTTCTCCTGCTCTCTCGTCCTCCACAGATCCCCCACGCTGGCAGCTCTGACCAGCCCCATCCCTCCATTCAGCAAGGCTTGCACGTACCACACCCCAGCAGCCAGGCAGGGCCTCCATTACATCACAGCGGGGCTCCTCCTTCCCAGCCACCCCGGCAACCACCACAGGCCGCTCCCAGCAACCATCCACACAGTGACCTGACCTTTAACCCCTCCTCAGCCTTAGAGGGTCAGGCCGGAGCGCAGGGAGCGTCCGACATGCCGGAGCCTTCGCTGGATGTAAGTTGGGGTCACCACTGGCCTTGGCCTGGGGCTAGGCTTGGCACGGGACCTGCTCATGACAAGGGAGGGGTGGTGAGGGCAAGAGGCCCTGCAGCCTGCCCCAGGGCGTGGGTGGGCAGCAGCCAGCCTGTCCAGCTCCAGAGCCAGCCCTTTCCTTAGGGAGATGCCCCCGAGTGTTCCAGTGTTAGTGCCCCCTCCTCCACATGACAGCCCCTACCCCCATTGGGCCTTGTGGCCATGTGCTGACCACCAGCTATTCCTCCTTCTCCCAAGCCCCCACAGACCCTAGCCTGAGGTTGTGAGGCTACACGGGAGGGCCCATGTCCTTGCCCACCCTCTCCCCTCCCTCCCTTCCCCCTTTGTTGAGCTTGCTGTCTCTGTGTCCCCAGGGGGCAGAGCTGGAGTGGGAGGGTACCCCATCTGTCTGTCTGTCTGTCTCCAGTGTTCTGGTCCGTGCCTTGCCCATGCCCTGTTGCTTCTGCTTGCTTCATGGCTCACAGAAGGCTCTCAGGGGTGAGGGAAGCCACAGTGGGGGTGGCCTCGGGCCATGGCCAGCAGAAGTGGAGTCGTGGGCAGCTTAAGATTCAGGGCTCTCCTACCTTGAAGGCTGAATATTCTCAAATTGGAGCAAGGCCAGCGCTGGCCAGGAAGGAACTTGCCCATCCCTGCCTCCCCATTCCCTTGTGTTCCTGGAGCCAGGGGTCTTGTGCCCTGGCTTCTCTCCTACCCACCCATCAGTCATTGCTCCTCATACCCGCCCTGCTGTGTGTGTCTCAGGTGTGTCAGGGCTTCTCCATGAATAGGACTCCCCTGATCATGTAGCCCTCTCACCGCTCCTCCCCCGACTCCTCCCCAAACCCCCCACCAGCACGGGTGTTGCCGAAGAACCCTGAGAGCAGGGCAGCTTTTTCTTCAGGTCAGCAGCAGGAAATGCTATTAGCCTGGCCCTGTGCTGCTGAGCCGAGGCCTCCTGAGATGGGTCCAAGGCATGAAAGCCAACGGGGTTCACCCCTCGGTCCCTGCCCATTGGCGGTTCTCCTCCAGTCTTCCTAGCAGCCTCTTTCCTCATGACACATGTGCCTCCCCTACCATGGAGACCCCCATGGCAGGACCTAAGGGGTGCAAAGGAATAGCTGAACAAGAGGAAATCCCTTAAGCTTCTCATGGGCCTTCTGTGTTGGGGTCAGAGGGGAGCACCTGAGGTAGTACCTGAGAAGGGCGTGTCTAGTTCAGGTGTCTCAGCTGGAGCAGTGAAGCCCTTAACTCCAGCTCATGTGAGAGTGTCTCACAGGCCAGCTGGGCTTTGGGGACTTGGTCTCTCTTTCAGGCCAGAACCCTCGTAGTCAGGGACAGGGAAATGTCCAGCCTGGTTTGCCCGTGTCTTCCTCATCTAAGTTAGCCTTTCTAGCAGTAGCTCACCTGTGTATCTGTACGTCTCTTTTTCAGCTCCTTCCAGAACTCACAAACCCTGATGAGCTCCTCTCGTACCTGGACCCCCCTGACCTGCCGAGCAATAGTAACGATGACCTTCTGTCCCTCTTTGAGAACAACTGAAGGCCACACCTCTCAGGCCAGCCCATCACTCTGCCTCCTTCCCCATCTGCCCTTGCACTTTCCACCTGGAAGCCGGGCCTCTGCACCACCCTCACCTGCACCTTGGGCTCAGGGTGGGAGCTCTTCCCTTCTGCAGAACGAGGGGCTGGGGGAGCACTGGGAAGTTTGAGGCCCATCCCCAGAGCAGCAGGCCCCAAAGAAGGACCCCTGACAAGGAAGACCCAGTGAGGAAGACGGATAAAGCCAGTTTTCCGGCTCCTCCACCAACTCCAGACAGCCTGCCAGTGCCCCGTGCTCTTCCACTCTTCGAACTCTAACTCTCTGCTGCTTGGCCCCAGCCTCCTGCTGAGTGACTGAAACCTGCAAGAAGGCCCTTGAGGTACAGGCTACCTTGACCTTGACCCCGAAGAGCAGTGACAATTGGCGGCAGTGAGAACGGCCCACACACCACCGAAAAGCACAAACCTCTCTCAGGGGCTGGGGGTTGCCACTTGTACCCCCAAGCTCTAAGCCAATTCACCCTGTAAACACCCTCGCTCAGCAGAAAAAAAAAGACAATATTTTGTGGTTGAGAGAGTCTGCCATTCCTGCTTAGTACTGTGAGCAACAGGGCTGGTGTGTGACCTATCCTGGCTCCCAGCCCTCCCAACACAGACCACAGCCCAGCCTTGCAGGCAGAGCCCAGTTGACACAACTGTGCTCTCAGCCGAGGGTGGGCATGGACGTGCTGGACGCAAAGGAGGGCAGCAACTTGTAATTGTGCTCTTCAGCACTCCCTATTTTTTTAAAGAACACACAATCACGGTTATTCAGTCATCTGGAGAAGTGTGTTGGACTTGGACAGAAATTAAGTCATTTCTCCCCGTGTTCACTTCCCTTGCTCGTGTTTGCACCCATCTCTCCAGACTGTTACGTAGGATGTCCACTCCTCTCTGTCCTGATCATGCCTGTCCAGCCAGGTGGCCAGATGGGGATCCAGAAAGGCAGGAGCAGTGTGGCTTGCAGCCGAGATCCTTGTGCTCAAGGCTGCCCCAGCTCAGGCAGTCCATTGTCGCATGGGCAGGGATGGACCTGTGTGCATCATGTGTTTCTAAGGCTGCCTCCTGCCCACGCCCACCTACCAGCCTCTCCATCCCTCTGTCCCTCTCACCACAAGCTCTCCCCAGGCTCCTGCTGACTCAGACAGAGCGGCCTTGAGTCTGTCCACTCTTCTCCATCAAGCTGCATGCTCTCTGGCCAGCTGGTCCCTGGGCATTCGTTCTGTTCCAGGATCATCTTAATGCCCCTCTGCCATGTGGCCTGTGGTGATGCTGAGCCGTCTGGTCACTTGAGTCATCGCTGTAAAATGTTTGCGTCCTTCTCTGCTGCTGCCTGAGCCCCTCACCCCATCTCCTCACCCTCCTGTCTGGTGGCTGATGGCCACTCTGCACTCCACAGTGGACTTGACTGAAACGGTAACCCTGATTGTGGACTTCCAGTCACTGTCCCAGACCCAGACGGCACAAGATTCTCTGTCGAAAAGCTGCCATTTACCCCCTTTTTCCTTTGTTCCCTTGTCAAGGTTTTTCAAATGGCGTGTTGTTCAGTATGCAAACCAATTATTTTAAGAATCGCTTTTGTAAATATCTTTGTGAATATTTTAGTATCGTCTTTGATAATACTCGACATTTTCATGACCTGATTATAGCCTTTGCTGATGTTTTTAAAATGTCTTGACTCAACAACAAAGATCGAGTCTTTTTTAAAAAAACAAAAACAAAAACAAAAAAGCAATCAGGGCTATTTGTACAGTTGAAGGAATGACGACAGCGAGTGCCTGTGCTTGGAGCCGAAGACCAACAGCCCACTGTGTGTACCCAGCCCCAGGCAACTGGTGGGGACAGTGCCAGGCAGTGTGTGGCCATCCTTGCCCAGTGCTCATTAGTCCTGGGAGGGCTGGCATTTGGCCACGTGCTGGCCAAACATCTGGAAATACACTCCAGGGGGCCTTTCAGAAGCCCCCTCGGAGGTGCACCTGCGTCCTGCCTCATACTTTGCCCCAGGAAGTCTGGAGGCTCTGGTTCCTGCTGGGGTGTCTCCAGACTGCTCACCAGTCTGTCCACAGTTGTCTAGTGTCGAGGACAATACTGGTCCCTCCGTTTGGGACCAACCACCTCTCAGCCTTCCCTGATGAAAAGGAGGGCCCAACACCTGAGGCTGCTTCCTGAATCCCGTCCCAAGTAAACCTCCACCAGCAAATTCCGCGAACTCTCCCCCTGGCTGGCTCAGCTCCCATGTGCCTGTACCTCCTCTCCACAGGGATTTTGGAGCCGAGTCCAGCAGTGTGAGGGGGTCGTGCGGGCACCCCAGAGACTGGCAAGAGCCCTAGGTCCTGACAGGTGAAGACATCCCAAAGCAGAGGCAGTTCTAGACTCCAGGGAGCTCTGTCCCTGACTCCTTGTGGATGACTATTGGAGCCATAAGTAACCTCAACAAAAACGAGGCCTCAGCAAGCCACTTTTCCATGGTCAACCTCTACCGAGCCATAGGCAGGACTCAGCTGCCACTCCATGCACAGCCGGGCGGGTGGCGGGCAGGTGGCAGGCCCAAGTACAGGCAGTCACCCCCTATTTTCCTGGTTTGAAGCTTTATCTGTGTGTCATGTTCTCTGTAGCCATTTTATTTCTAAAGAATTTCTAATTTCACAAAAGCCCAGATCCCCCAGAGAGCTCCTCTTCAGCTCCCTCGGGCCCCCACCGTGACCCATCCTGACATGGCAGTGTCAGCAGCAGCGACTCAAGGGACGTGTGTACATATGTAAATGAGAAATAGAGACATGTTAACAGATGCATTCATTTCCCTCGGAATGTGTATCGGTTTTTATTTTATAAAATCGCAAAAAAAAAAAAAAAGGCTTGGAACTCCATCTCGAGTGGAAGAAAGTAGGTCCTGTTCGTTAGCGTCTGTGGGGTCCGCGTCTGTCTCACTGTAATATACTCTGAGCCTGTGTGGAAAGCAGTTTTTTGTTCTGTTTTGTTTTTATTTTACCTATGTGTAATATTTAGCTTCAGTGTACTAGTCCTCCCACCTGTGTATTTTTAGGGTGCTATGGGGAAAAAAAATGAAGAGAACGGGGATTTCAAGAGAAAATTGTAACCAAATTCATACTTTGTATAATTTTTGATATCATGATCACAGGTGATTCGCACATACACATACCGACACCCTCACAAATACAGTCTGAAGTGTCTCCCGCAAAAAGCCACCATTGTCCTTGCGCATCGTATGTACAATGCAATCATTTCATATTTTCAACTGGTCAGAAACTAATTGTGATTTTTAGTCTTGCAAAGCTGTATGTAGTTAGATGATGTGACAACCTTTAATATTTATCTAATAAATATGTATTCAGATGAAACCTGTATATTAGGTGTTCATGTGGTTATTTTGTATTTAAAGATCAAATTATTTGACTATTGCTAGGCATTTCTATACTCTGTTGTAACACTGAGGTATCTCATTTGCCCATGTTAATTTTTTTCTAAATAAATTGACGAAAATGAAGGCTTGACGGATTAGCTATTTTGTGATTGTTGAGGAGTGGTTTGGGTTTATTTTGTTTGTTTTTAAAACACCTCGATGCCACCCTCCTGAACATACGCAAGCAAGTGGTCTGGGTGTTGAGCTGGGGAGCCCCCGGCCAGGAAGAGGCCCTGAGAACCGGTGACAGGTGAGGCAGTTGGAGCCAGATGCCTTCAAAGCTGTTCCTTCTAGCAGCCTGTCTCCGTCCAGCAGGCCTTGCTCCTGAACAGGGTGGGCCAGGCCTATGGGAGTCCTGGGGCCCTGGGGCCCATGTGGCTCAGGGAGAGTGTGCATGATGCTGATCTCTCAGAGTGAGACGGATTGTTTCGGATTTGAGAGGAGTCTGTTCCTGAAAGCTGCTGAGACTCAGAGCTCTAAGAAGAACGGATCCCAGCTAGAAACAAGTGTGGATGAACAAAGAAGAGGGAGTGCTGTGCCCTGTGCAAGGGGAGGTTTCTGAGACATGGGCTCTGCCCTCCTAGAACCCCTATTTGGCCATGGTCCTTACAATCCAGTACCCACCCTGTGTCTCCTGTTTAAGTTCCAGAGGTGAGAACCAGTCTGTAACTTCTAGCTGCCAATCATTGTTCCTCCTCCTAGCTCTGGATGCTGTTTACCACGACCTGTCCCTTCAGCAGGGGCCATGTGTGAGGGCAGGTCCAAAGCAGGTGGAGCCTGGGCAGACACCTGGGCACTGCACCGTGTTTTCACAGCAGTATGAAAGGTGGGGTGACTGGGGGCCGCGTGTGCCCAGGAAACCAGGATCAACATTGATCCCTGGGGTGAGGTATCTGGAAGCCCCGCTTCACTCCCCTACCTGAGGGAAGTGTCTAAGGCAGTCTTTGATCTTTTGCAGAATGTTTTAAGTCCTTTTCACTTTCAGCAAGCAAGGTTGTGTGATCTGCATAATGCAGGTTGCTAATGAGTCTTCTTCCAATCCTAATATCACACAGTCTTCTTTTTGTAGTGAATAAATATAGAACAAGGATAAAACCATGACACACGCCTTTCCTGATTTGAACCATGCAGTGTTCCCTTGTTCTGTTCAGATAGCAGCTTCTTGTATAGATTTCCTACGAGCACCACTAACTGTTCTGGGATTCCCACTCTTCTCAATGTTAGCCATAGCTTGTTATGAGCTACACAGTCAAATCCTTTTGCATAGCCAGTAAAACACATAGGAATATCTTTCTGGTACTCTCTGCTTTCAGTAATGATATCCCTCATGCACAGCCTCTTCAGAATCAATGAGACTAGAGACTCAGATATATGTCTTGCCACAAACTTAAGTGGCCCAGTAACACTCTCCTAGCAGCATCCCAAAACCTTATGCTCAAAGCAAGAAGCATGGATTTAGAGTGAGCGGCTTTGTGGGGAGGAGTGAGAGAGGGTCCATGGGCTAGAGGTATGAAGATGTGGTCCCTTATGTGTGGAAACTGAGTAGAGAGAAAGGATTGAACTTTTAGTTCCTGGATCTGGCATTCCCCTGGGCTTCTAGGATGGATCAGGCTGCAGAGTTCGCTGAAGTGGAAGAGTGAGCCTCGGTGTTGCCAAGAAGATTTGCTTTTTATTGTGAATTTAGGGGAGCGTTCT